GTAGGGTTGTAAGCCTTGAGCCATTTGAATCTAATGAAGATGTCTGTCTTTCTGAGGTTAGTGACTCTAAACTCAATGCTTTCCTTATGATCCTGAATAGTTATCTGTAGTTGGGCAAACTCAGTGATCTGACCATTCTGGTTTAGGGTTCTGTCTACATTGTATACTAGGATCAGAAGTAGAACATGTTGAGTAGGGAGGTGGTGTTCCTACACAAAGGCCTTATTAATACACAAACTGGTGCATCTACTGTCTACCAGAGCTGTTGTTTGGATCTGGCAGAATCCTGAGAAGGGAGCCAAGAGGACAGGGACCTAGAGCTAGTACTCAGAACATTCTTAAATGAACTGCTACTTGTTTCAAAGGGAATGTACAGCTTGTACAGTCTTGTTGTCTGAGAGAGTAAGTATATGTACTAACATTTCCTCATTAACCTCTCTCTTTCAACAAGGACAGACTCATGTCCTCAGTTGTGAACTCAGCTGAGACCATCCCTGCTTGATACTACAGACAAACTACTGAGTAGTGAATAGGGCTGGGTAATGTTCTGAACATTCTGAGGTCTCAGAATGTGGAAGTAGCAGGTCAGATTGTACAGATTTAGACTCAGATAAAGTGTGAAGAGAAGAATCAAAAGAATCAGAAGAAATAGGAGAACTATCTACTTTTGTTTTCGACTTTTTTCTTTCTAATAAATAATTTTGTTGATTTATTTTTTCTACTTTTTCTACTTTTTCTACTTTTCTTACTTTATTTACTTCTAATCCTACAGTGTCCATTGAATCAAAAGTAGCTATTAAAAAATCCAAGTCATAGCCCTTCAGTACTACATTTACTGTTGGGCCTCTACAAAATCCTGGGGTACATAGTTAGGGTCTGAGAGTTCTGAGGTGACTTTCAGATTTGCAGAAAAGGCTTCTTACCACAAATCCTACTTGTCACTCATTATTACTCTAATGACCTGATAGATATGCTGTTGCTTCTGTAAGCAGTCCTTAATTTGGTGCCCTGACTTTCTGCAGGCAAAGCATACTCCTTACTTTCTAGGCTTCTCTAATGTTCATCAGAACAGATTGATTGCAAATTATGGGTGG